TAGCCAAATATTTCTATGACCTTGGCTACAGTATTGAAGAGCTGCATTCATCCTTGAGTCAGAGTATCATGACTGAAGCTGTTATGCCATCACTTTGTAAAGATGGAGAAGCAGCAGCACCTGAAGATGTCTTGGAATGGCTTGGATGTCAGACACTTGGTGTAAAACTGTAAGTATAATGCATTGTTTCTTTGGGTACAATCTTTCTCAAGATAATGGCTACTACATTAGAATCTAAACAGTTACTTAAGCACTAAAATTTTTCCAGTAGCAATAAAATATTTGTTGTTACAAAAGACAACTTTCCTGGCTGCCCTGGTTTCTCTGTTTCCCATGTGGATTTTCAGCTGTTAATATAATGTAGTACATTATTTATTTTAGTACTGTATTTGTTTTAAGACAATGTTAAAAGAAGATAAAACAAAAAATGGAATACTGGAATCGAATTGCAAAAAACAGCTCCTCAGAAAGTGGTTAAAGAATTGCAAGAATGCAAATACAATTAATTCATTTAGATTAGTGTACTATTTCCATTTGAGTTCTTGGAGAAGTGGAGAATAATCCTTCCTCTGTAAGCCATACATGTCATAAGAAGTGACTAAAATGCCAGGAGCAGGGTCTAGTAACCCCTTCTCATGTATATATTATTAAATGTGAAAATAAGAAAAAACTTCAGTGTTTTCTTTTTCAGGTCACCCTGCCTCGGTGCGAGACAGCTGGCAGGTTAAAAAAAAAAATTAACTTTAAACCAAAATCTTAGTGTGGCTTAGACCTTATGTTTTCTGCAACTATACCTACTAATCCCTTCAAGGAAGGTTCCTTGATGCTGGTGAGGGGCTCTTGATCTAGGGAATTGGATCTGTGCTCCAGTTCCCTGCATTAAGCCTCAGTGCCTTCCATCCTCCTCCCCCACAGGTGCTGCATAATCCCTACTTGTTTAGCGCTCCTCCATGATAATAACGATACCTTCTAATCTTTGCCACCACCTTTTTTGAGCAGGGAAGCTGAAGGTACAAGAGTATGCGAGATTGTTACTCCAAAGCCGAATATTCTTGTCAACAACCTGTGTACACTGCACTGCACTGGATTTTTTACACCAGTTCAACTGCAGTTCTTGCTTCGCCAACTCAGGTGTGTGGTATAAGTCCAGTACATTGGTTAGACCTATCTCTGCATGTGTATCATGAGTGTGCTTTAATATTTATTTTATAAAATGATACTGTATGTATTAACCAAAGCCATATCTTAACCCTTAAATGGTCCAAACGTATAGATACGTTTTTTTCAACATCTGAAAGTATGTAAAAAAATGTAGATTTTTTTTTTTTGTTTTACATGTGAAAACGTGTAAAAAAATTTTTATCTACATTTTTTTTTGTTTGAAAATATGTAAAAAAAAGTAGATCTACTTTTGTAGCACTACGAATTAGAACGTCGATCTGTTTGGACCGTTTAAGGGTTAAGGTGTGATGCATTATGAATGCTCCTCATTCAGTATTCACTGAAGCAGTTTGCATATTGATATAGTCACTTTCTTTTTTTTCTACAAGTGTTGTCTATCTATATTGTATAAAGAAGCGTAAATGCATGAAAAAATTAGGAATGTCTTAGGAATTATATCGAGGCTTAATAGTTAAAGTAAAAAAAAATGCAAATTAAAATGTAAAATGTATGGCTTAGAAATCTTAAAATTCCCTGGCTGTAATGTATGAAGATTATAAATGTATTGAAGACAGTAGTGCATACTTTGTGTTTCTATATTAGAAAGAATGAGGGAATTGATTTTATAGTCATTACTATTTGTTATCTCTGTCAGTAATAGATATACTTGCGTATTATCTGTACATATGTACTCTAAGTATATCTATTACTGACACTCAATATTCATATATCTCTGTTATTATGAAATTTTATTTATTAATTTTGCATGTTACATGAGTGTATTGGTTCATGAATTTCACTACAAAGTTACTACAGGTAACTGATGTGTTAGTCCTGAGACTATTATAATTTTTCTGAGAAATGCTTCTTTACACTAATGGAAGAAGGTGTTAAAAAAGTTACCTTAAACAGGCTTCACTTTTATTTAGTCTTAAAACTTATTTATATATTGCCACTTTTTCTTTTTCAACATTTTAAATGTTTTCTTGTACACTTTGATAAATCATTTTCTAGAAGTATCAATTTTTGTATATATAATTTGATATTTTATTTTTTCTTATCATAAAAACTAATCCATTCTATAAAAATATCCAACAGGATGTGGTTAAATCAAAAAAGTATTTCAGCTGTGCCTTGGATCAGTATGACAGTGTATGGACACCCAGATTCACCTATTACTTGGGGTAACCAAGAACATGTCTATTGTACAAATGGCGACAACTTTTATACACTAGTTATTCTAAGAGACAAGCTAAGAATTTATAAAATTTCAGGTTCAAGAAAACCACAAAGATTGTATGTGAAATCTAATAAAAATAAATGATGTAAATTTTCTTTCACTCTTCCATCCCATTTGATTTAATTTATAATTACTTAGATCCCTCTAGGGCAGTGGTCCTCAACCTTCTTACACAAATGAGCCACATTTAACGGTAAATGTATGATGAGGGATGCACGGTTTTGTTGACACTGCAGTGTGTAACCTACATAAAAGTGAATTCATAATTTCATGCGAGGGCCGCATCCATTCCCTAGAAGGGCCATCTGCGGTTCACAGGTTGGGGACCCCTACTCTAGGATATAAGCTGGTTGGGGACCCCTACTCAAGGATATAAGCTGGTTGGGGACCCCTACTCTAGGATATAAGCTGGTTGGGGACCCCTACTCTAGGATATAAGCTGGTTGGGGACCCCTACTCTAGGATATAAGCTGGTTGGGGACCCCTACTCTAGGATATAAGCTGGTTGGGGACCCCTACTCTAGGATATAAGCTGGTTGGGGACCCTTACTCTAGGATATAAGCTGGTTGTGTATGGACCTTTACAATAAGCATTCTTACTTAATAGAAACTGGAAATTGTTTATTACATTATTGAGCTCACAATCAAAGAATTCCAGTCTGCAAATGCCAGGCCCTTACAAACATGGATTATAACTCTTAATATACCTTTGACAGGTTTCGAGAATTTTATTACTTCCACAGCTGGTCCCGAGCCAAAAGTTTGAGGAGTTTATTCCTACTGCCTTGTTTACTAGGGCCTGTGAATGATTTTTTTTTTTTCAACATGTCAGTTGTCTCGCACCGAGGCAGGGTGACCCAAAAAGAAAGAAAATCCCCAAAAAGAAAATACTCTCGTCATCATTGAATACTTTCACCTCACTCGTACATAATCACTGTCATTGAAGAGGCGCTCAAATACGACAGTTTAGAAGTCCCTCCAAACTGCCAATATCCCAAACCCCTCCTCTAAAGTGCAGGCACTGTACTTCCCATTTCCCTGTGAATGATATTATACATTAATCTTCCTTGAAGAACAACTCCAGGTTTGGGTTACAACTATAATTATTATTATTACAATCATAAGTGCTAAACCCACAAGGGTCAACCTCAATAAATAAATGTTTACATTGATCTAGTTAAATTTTGTATTTGTTATTGCAAATTTTGGTTTATTTATTGCTTCTGTACTAAAAATTGCATCTATACTTGCACTACAGTACTATATTTTCTTTCAGTGTTGTGTTTTGATCCTGGTGAGGAGCTCTTGATCTAAAGAACTGTATTGAACCTGATTGCCTCCCATTTCCCAGGGACTGTATGATCCCTACAAATTTAGCACATCCCCTAAATAAAATAAAAAGAATGTGTCCAAATTAATAATTATTAGTATACAATATCCATATACAGAGTAACAATGCAGGAGGTTTGTAGGGACCATTCCACTTGGATACCTATGTTCACAACACTTTTGATAATAATCAGTTAGTTACTGCAGTCTTTGTTTTATCTTGAAAAAGCTAATGACACCACCAGGCACAACATCTTTGCCCAGGCTCATTCCGGGGTTTCAAGGCAACATTCGCTTTTCCTTTAAAGGATTTTTTGTCAAGATATTTGTCTCTGAGTTAATAATAGATTTTCCCAATTTCCCCTGGCTACGGCATCCCTGGGTTTCATTGTCCAAATCACTTAAATGGATTACTGTGATTTTTTCTAACTTGATCCCATTCATTATTATGGGTTCGTTTGTGTTGGGGCCTTATCGTTTTTCCCCAATGAGACCCTATGTGCAAGAAAAAATTTTTCCCCATGTTTGCCTCCCCCAAACCCCCTTTCAGATTTTTCCACGTAAGGGACAGTAACTGATATTAGCAGAGTTTTAAGGACAGCAATAAAGTTAGCAAGCATGTTAGGAAGTATGTGTTAACGAGCTTTTTGTTAATCTTTGCCCCTTTCCTCCTGTATTGTCTTTTTTTTAGCTTCCTCAAAATTTACTTCACCCTACAATTTTATTTTTCCCTCCCTCCCTGGGGAAATCCACATTATGTTTGCTTTTCTCCACTTCTTTTCAGTGAAAGCTCACTTTTCCAGCGTAAATTTACACCAATCTTTCTTGATCCTTCCCTTTCTTTTTCACGCTACAACTGCAAGCATGCGGGTGGCTAAATTCCTTGGGGGTGTTTTGGGATGAGCAGTTTTTCTTGACAAAAAATATCCCAGGTCATTAACAGATCAGCCAGTGTTTTTAAATCCTTTGTATACAACCCTCATGGTGTTTTACATACTGTGCAGTGTCCATCCCATAATTTATAATCATCTTTGATTCCACAGTGCATTTGGGGTACCCAAAATTTTATTCCTTTCATTCCTTTATTAAAGAACTTACTAAAATTTTTGTGAATTTTCTCTACTTTAAGATTGGCCCGGAAAATTATGGACTTAAATCCCAAAAAGAACAAAGGGAAAATTTTTAATGTAGCTTCATGGCATGGTTTTTGGCCCCCTAACTCCAAAAAATTGAGTGCAAATTTAAATAGGGTAGGGGAATACGTGACTTTTTATACGCCATTAATTTAGCCTTCAGTCCTAGTACTAAGGCTTTCACCAAGAGGAAGGGAAACCTACAATACTCTTTTAGGTGAGGAACACAACATTTCATGTATTTAAACCCAAAAAATGTCCAAAGGTAATCTACGTTTTTTCAACATTTGAAAGTATGTAAAAAAACGCAGATCTTTTTTTTTTTTTTTTTTACATTTGAAAACATGTAAAAACCTTTGATCTACAGTGTACTTATTTTTTTTTTATATTTGAAAATATGTAAAAAAAACAAAGATCTACTTTTGGAGCACTACGCATGTGAACGTAAATCTGTTTGGACAGTTTAAGGGTTAAAACAATATAATGAGATTTCTCATTTTCTATGCACTTTGTTTATGTGCATGTGTATTTATGATGCCTACTGTATAGTCCTTCAAGGAGGTACCTTGATGCTGATGAAGGGCTCTTGAAGTGAAGCACTAAACCCATAGGGCTTAGTGCTTTACAATGATTATAGTAATAATATCTGTACAACACATTCTCTTTTTCTATTACTTTTGACTATAATAATAATAATAATAATAAAATAATAATGATAACTGATCCATTTGCAAAACTATGCTCCCAGTTAACCAGTATACAAAGGATATGTATGAAAGTAATAAAATTTGTCTTTATTAAAAATCATAAAAGTACACATGTAGAAACACTAAAAGAAGCTAAAACAGTACTGCACTATACAATAATAAATAATATTTATGTAGTATCTCATCAATTTAATAGGCTAATAGTGATTGTGATGGATAGAGATGAGACTGTTTTGCCATGGTCATAATTATTATGTACAATTTCTATAAATGACGGACTTTGTCTGGTGTTTACGAAAGAGCCAGTTTCTCAGTCTCGTGGAAGATGGCAAATGTAGCTGCAGTATTCAAAAATGAAAAAATCCAGTCACTCCTAAACTACACACCAGCAAGTCTGAAAATTACACCATGCAAGGTAAATTGTAGGAAATAATGCAATTAGAACACTTAAAAGGTTCTCCGTGAGACCCACTGCACACAATGTAGTTAGGTGCTCATAATACATGCTCTCAAGACCATGGCAAAAAATACATTTGAATGCTACAGACACATCAGAATACTTTCTTAGTAGATTTTTACACCAGCTAACAAACACAGAAAGAATTACCACAATGCAAACCTGTTAGTTGCAGATCTAGTATAATGTGAGATGTCATTTGGTAACATGTAATTTCTGCAAAAAATGGAGTCATGACCCATGTGCGAATATTCACTAGTTTACCACAAATGATAATAAAGCAGGGAAATGTTTTTGAGTTTGTCAAAGCGACATGAGGCAATAGGAGTAAATTTCATTTATACTAAAAGAAAAAAACACCAACCAAAAAAAAAACATCCTCTGTGGAAAATTAGACAGTCTTGTATGACAGTTGGGAAAGTAAAAGGAGTGGATCAGGTGGAGCTGCCACCTTTCATGCTGTCTTGGAAGACAGTGCCTATAAAGATATACAAAAGCAAGACAGTGCACTAGATGGAGAAAGTGGTGCCAGTATTGTAGTACTGTAGTAGGAAATGATGAAGACATAAAAGATCCAGAAATACAAAACAGCAATAATGCTGTAGATGGAAAAAAAAGGATAATGCTTTAGGGGATGGTGTTCATACACCACCAGAAATAATTGGTGGTGGTGGTACTGATGGTAGTACAGGTACAGCAGATAGTGGTGAATCAGGAAAAACTGCAGTAGGGTACTCAGTCACAAAAACTCCTGACAAACATAAATCAAATCTGTGGAAATTTTATGCCTTGGGTATCTGTAGGCATGGAATATCTGGGAAAACAGGTGGAACATGCAATTTTGACCATCCAGAAAATGCTACAACCTCATGACCAAAGGAGTATGCAATCCTTCTTCTTGTAAACTATTACACCATGAAATGTGTTATCCGTCAGTCCATGAATGACAGTGTTACAACACATACTGTCAGGCATACCATTTAAAAGGGAAAAGAAGGTACAGATCACACAGCCCTTGGAAAATAAACCAGAGTAATGACAACCACTCTGGAGAAAGTTTTTAAGTGCCAGGAAGAAAAAGAAACTGGTGGAAATGACAGAAATACTACACCACCTCGGATCACTACTAGAGTGGAGGCACAGTCAGTGGAACCCATTCCAAAACAACAGATATTAGTGCCAGCAAATAAAACTTCCCTATGTACTAAAGCTATCAACAAACAAAATACCCTTCATCAGTGGCTTGCTCAATGAGTCAAATGCAATGTTTGAATTATTATTATTATAATCAAAAAGAAGCGCTAAGCCACAAGGGCTATACAGCGCTGCAGGGTAGGGAAGGAAGCGAGGGTATTGGATGGCAGAAGGGAGGAGGGATGATCAGCAGGTTACAGAAAACAGCGGGGCAGGGGATAGTACGGGGGTAGAGGGTAGCAAGAGATTGAAGTAGAAAGGGCTGAAGGTATCAGAATT